GGGGAAGGGAAGAAAGGGACGGGAATTTGAACTTTCCACATCGGTCCGGCGCCCTGGACGATCAGGTTGCAACATGACCTGGGCCCGGGGCCAGAGCATATGGGCCAAGGTTACACCGCCTGCAGCCAATGGGGTCTTGGCTGGGCTGCCGCGATTGGGGGTGGGCAACACCCCCGCAACCCCCACCCCAGCTCCGGCTCCAGATCAGAGAGCCTCAAGGGCCGTTCTGTATCCCGCCGTTCTCAGAAGGGGAGGAGGCGCCTCTGAGGAAGAGGAATATTTGCACAGAGAAAAGATCAAGGCTGGCCGATCCCCCTTTCACCTCTACAGTTTTCGGTTGATAATTTATCCTGGCCCCTCAGCTCCTGGGAACTTTGCTCCAGGGCACCGGGCCAGACCCCGGGTTCGCGCCCTCTCCCGGGACGCAGGCAGGCGTGGGAGCCCGGGCCAGGCGCGGTCCTCGAGCTCCGCGACGCGCGTAGCAGGGGTCCCAGGCAGCGTTAGGCGCTCAGCCTCGCGCTGCGACCCGGGTAGGCGAACCCAGGCCTCCCGGGGAACCAGCAGCACCCCCTGCCGGGCGCCCGCTGGGAAACTCTGCCAGCTGGGCCCCCCGGAGCACCCTTCTCCCGCCACCCTCGACCTAACAGGTCAAGAACAGGTGTCCCGGCAATTGGGAAGTACAGGGTGGACAAGAGACTGGGTTTCAAAAGACGTTGGCTATGAATCGGGACAATCATGGGCGTGAGGAGTTTCGCCAGGGTGCAGGAATGGAGTGTGTCTGGGCCCGGGTACTGGGGAGGGAGCGGAGGGCCGAGGTGGTCTGGTGGAGTGGCCCCCAGAGTGGAGGGTGGGAATGGCTTAGGGTCCTGGGAGCTCGAGGGATGCCCTGGAATTTCTTTGGGGGCAGAAGAGTCAGGACGGGGAGAGGGGCCTTGGTGGGTCGAGGTGGAGGTCGAGGTGGAGGACAGGAGGTCCGCACCCTGGGGAGGGAGTGAAAGTGGTGAGCCATGGGAATCTGGAGGCAGGGCCGGGGCCAGAGGACGCTCGGGGTTGGGGGAGAAGGGTGTCCAGGATGTGGTCGGACTCTCCGAGAGCATCCAGGGACCAAAGTTTGGGGCCGGGTGGGGTGTCCGGGGCCCCAGCGCGTGGTGCCGCCACGGAGGGCCGAGGCTGCCGGGCCCCGGAGCCGCCCTCACCTGTAGGCCAGGCTCATGCACTCGAAGAGGCGGGTGAGTGTGGGGTCGATGCTGCGCGGCCCGAAGTCGGCGGGCCCCATGGGCCCCTCCTGGTCGCGCCGCCGGGTCAGCGAGTCGCTGTGCGGCGACGACACCATGAAGTGACCGCTGTGGATGACCTGCGAGCGGAGCAGCCCGCCCGCGCTGCGCCGGTTACTCGGGTCCTCCGAATCTGTGTCTGAGTCCGAGTCTTGGCTGGGGACGACCCGCGGGCAGGACAAGCCGGCGGCCAGACCCGCCAACGCCCGGGCCATGGCTTTCGTCGCCGCCGCCTCGCCCGGGCTCCGTGGAGCAGCTGGCGCGGCCAGTGTGGCCAGATTGGCCTCATTAACATAACCCCGCCCCTCCACAGCCATAGGTCGTTCCGGGGGGGCGGGGCCTTGGGGACAGCGCGCGGGAGCGGGCGGGACTGGGTTTAAATTAGCATAATCAATATGCACGCTAAAAATAAATTAATTAGCATGATCAATATGCTAAGCGAGAGCGCGGGCGGAGCTACTGCGGGTCTGGAGTTTGGAAGAGGAAGAGGTCCCTATTTCCCCTCCTGCCCCTCCTTATGCGGTTCCCCTATGTCACCCGAAAGGGGTCTCAAGAAGAGTTGCCGAGTAGAGCACCAGGTTGGCTCAATCGGTTGAACAACCTATTCTTGATCTCCGCTCAGCTCATGATCTTGGCTTGGGTCATGATCTCATGGTTCAGAGAGTTCAAGCCCCACGTCGGGCTCTGCACTGACAGTGAGGAGCCTGCTAGGAATTCTCTCTCCCTCCCTCTCTCTCTCTCCCTGCTCCTACCCCACTCGTGTTTGTGCGCGCACTCTCTCTCTCAAGAAAGAAAGAAAGGGAAAGAAAGAAAAAGAAAGAAAAAAGTTTGACTGTTAATCATTCACACCTGAGCCAGAAAGTGCCTCAGTGCCTGGGATTCCTTGCTTCCAGTGCCCTCCTGTGAAGTCCCTCAGCTAACTACACCCCTTCCTCCCTGCCATCTCTGGTGTCCAGGCTCACATTCACCCTCTCTCAGTCCTGCACACAGCTGGAAGCACGCACCTGTCAGAGTCTTGTGTGGCCTGGCCCACAGGAAGGTCCCAGCACCCCCTAGTTGCCATTATGATCATCACTACACCTGCACAGAGGCCCCGAGGTTTACATGAGTGTGAATCCATGAGTGGTGACAGGTGATGACTGGCAAGGTGGAGCCTTGGTCACCTTCCCCTGGACATCCCCCAGGCAAGCCATCTGCTCTGGAGCTTTGGGTCCTCCCTCTCACCGGCCCTGGGGTCCAGCTCATGTACCTGTTTCTGAAGTCTCTCCTCTCACCCTGAGAACTGGGCTGTTTGGTCTAGAGCACTCACACTGTCACCTAGCTGGCATCTTTAACAATCCTCAGAGGTGGGATTCTTGTCCCACTTCGGCGCATGTCACCAGCGTCCACAGGAGTGGAAACACCCGAATATCTACACAGGGCCCAAAATGGAACCTGGTCTAGAATTCCAGACTTCCCATCCAGGTTATCTCTGGTGGGGGAAGGGAGGGCTAGAGTCCAAAGCTAACCTCCCTTGGTTTTGTGGACAGTGTGGCCTATGTGTAGTCACAGGAGAGAAAGCGGGGGCTGGAAGCTTGCAGAAGGTTCTCTCAGAGTGTTTTCTTCCTTCCCCTGGTAGGGTCACACAGCTCCTGAAATCAAATGGCAGTGCCTCGAGGGCCCCTGTGATCACCTGAGATGCTGAAATGATTGCCCAAGGCTGCTCACAGTCCCACCTCTCCACCCACCCACCCCATGTCCCTGGGCCAGGTACCCTCTGTCCCTGCCAAACAGTCACCTCTCAGTCCCTGGAGCCCCAAGTGCTGCTCTCTGCAGGGGTGCATTCTCTCTGCTCATCTGATGGCCGAATTCTGGGGCCTCAGGTACCCACCTCAGCCTGCCTCCTCTGGAGAGAGAGCCATTCCTAAGTGGTCCTTTTGGGATCCTTGGCACGGAGACCGACAGGGTCACTACCTATCCTTTATGTGCCTGTCTGGCTCTGCCCCTGGCCTATGGGCCCTGAGATAGGACTGTTCCTCGGGTGTCTGAACCCCCACACTGAGCATGCAGGGGCTTGGGAATGCTTGGAGAAGGGCATGACACTAAGAGGACCTGGCGGCCACTTTGGGGAGCAGGGGTGGGAAGCAGGGCCACTTCTCTGTTGGAGCCTCCTAGTTTCAAGGACCCCGCCTTAGGCAGAGGTCTGAATTGATCCTTGCTCTGCTGCCAATTCCATGAATGCCCCTGGGCAAATCTCTGTCTTACTGGGACTCTGTCTCTCAGTCTCTCGCTCTGTCTCTGTCAACTCAGGAAGTGGAATTCAGAGCTTTCTTAGGATTCTGTAACTGTTAACACCTTGGGTTCTAAGTCTGTCCTATCAGCATCCCACCTCACCCCACCACGCTCCCGCTGGCCTCCTGTCCCCAGGAGAAAATCTCAGAATGGTCTCCTGTGGTTCGAGAGACTTTTCTCATGAGTTGAGACTCAGTAGGGTGAAGTATCTGTCTCACCCCATTACCCTCTCTTTCCCCAGCCATCAGCTGGCCCTCTGCACCCTGTTCTTGCCCTCCTCGGGGCCTGATAATACCTTTGGCGGGCTAAGGACTGAAAAAGACAATCCCTCTCTGTGTAATTCAAAACAGAACAACAATACATTGTACAATAAACACAAGGAAGTTCATAAGTTCCAATTTCTTCCACGAGGACATCTTCAATTGGAAAAAAAAATCCATTACTAAATTTTTTTTTTTCAAAAAAAAAAGAAAGAAAGAAAAAGAAAAAAGAAAACGTTTCAATGCTCCAAGCTTGCTGAGGCCTGGAATGAATGCTTCATCTGCCTTGTCCAGCCTCCCCCAGTCATCATTCCTAACCATACTGAAGTAGGTAATATTGCCTCCATTTTACAGCTGAAGAAACAGGTCAGGGAGTGAGGCACTTGCTCAAGGTCCTGCCGTGAGGAAGGGCAGAGCCAGGTCTGACTCTGAAGTCCAGCCTCCTTCACTTATGAGGCTGCCACTTGTCTCCTCTTAAATATGATTCTAGCCACGGTCAACTGGAGAAGTCAAACCAGCTGGTGGCATGGGGGCCCTGGCATGCCTGGGCTTCGGCACAGCTGGTTCAGGGTGCCCTTGCCCGGATGACAGTGCAGGCTTGTGCGAGCTGGCCTGGGCTCACCCTTCTCCTCCCTTTCCCATCTGGCCCCCGTTACCCACGGCCCCGGGCTTACAGCCTCTCTCTACAGCCAAGTCTCGTTCACAGGCCACAGAGGTGCAGGACCGGGTGTAAAACCCTGGCTGTCCCTGCCGTCCTGCTTGACATCACACCCGCCCTGTGTCCCAGCCTTCGCTCTCAGGATCCCCTCCTTTCCCTCCTCATCTGGAAAGCTCACCCAAACTAGAAGCGCCGCCTCCACCTCCAACATCTTCCCGGAGTTCCCACAACCCTTGTTCCAATACAACTTTTAACTGCATTCTGCTCTGCGTTCCCAGTGAGGGGTGCACATCCCTCCGTATCCCACTAGATGGCGAACTGCCTGAAAGCGAGAATCCCGTCCTCTCCATAGACCATTTTTCTCCAAGTGCGAACGGGGCAGATGGGTTTTTGTTGAATGAATTGAGTTTATACTGTATCTGTCTACTACGTGTGTTCTATCTGTCCATCCATCTACACACACACGCACAGACACACACAGATGACACTTACTAAGTGTGTATTATGTGCCTATCCTAGTGCTAGTATTTCACTTTTGCGAAAGTTAAAAAATACAGAGGGGCACTTGGGTGGCTCCGTCAGCTAAGCATCTGATTCTCGGTTTCCGCTCAGGTCACGATCTCACGGTTTCGAGACCCGTGCCTGGCTCTGCACTGGCAGTGTGGAGCCTGCTTGGGATTCTCTCTCCCTCTCTCTCTGCCCCTCCCCTGCTGGCGCTGTCTCGATCTCTCTCAAAATAAATAAATAAGCTTAAAAAATACAGAAATGCAAAGATTTGGCTCTTGTAATATCCATAGTGATGGAAAGTAGATTAGCAGCTGCTAGGGGTTGGGAATAGTTGGGTGTGGGGAATTAGAATAACTGCTAATTGGTATTGGGTTTCACCTTGGGGATGGTGAAAATGTTCTAGAATGAGATAGTTGGGGATAGTTGTGCAGGTTTGTGAATATGCTGAATGACACTGAAAAAGGGTGAATTTTATAGTAAGTGTATTATATCTCAGTAAAATCAGGCACTTTTATATATCGTTCCATTTCCTGGTAGTCCTCTCCACTGTGCACGTGTGTGGATGTGTTACATTTTACCGAGGGGAAACTGAGGCTCTGGGAGGTGATTCAGAGTACTGTTGTGAGAGTGAACCATAAATGGCTAATGTTGGTGGCGCCTAACCTAACCCGTCTGTAGAATGTTCATGACAGCTCCGTGATTTTCAACTCATCTTGTAGACAGAGGAACAGGCTTTGCCGAAGGTCAAAAGGTACAAGGAGAGCTGAGATTCACACGCAGACAATCTGATGCCAGCCTGCCCCCAAGAACCTACATTCTCAAATTAGAAGGACGAGCGATCGCTCGGGAGGACGTGGTACCAGCAGAATTTCATCCATGCCGCTGCCAGGGTAACTTGGCCCAATCACTTCAGAAAACTATTTGTCAGTACCTACTAGGGCTGAACATCCACCTCCCTTATAACCCAGCAATTCCACAGAAACGGGTGTGTATGTGCAACAAATACATACACACAACTATTCACTCAGCATTATTCCTATAATGCAGCCAGGCGCTGCCTCCTCACGCTACAGAATATTAACACAGTAACGGGAATGAACACCGTATAACCAAATGCAACCATATGGGTACATCTCACCGACAATGTGGTGAACAAAAGAAGCCTGACACAGGAGGGTATGTGCTGTAAGACTTCATTTATATAAGGCTCCAAAACAAGCTAATCTGTGGTTTTGGAGTCAGGGTAGTGTTTAGCTTTGAGGTGAGAGAAGGGATCAAGAAGGGGCTTCCTGGAATGCTGCTAACATTTTGTCTCAGTATCTGGGTTCAGGTTACATGGGTGCATTTGCTGGAAATACTCATCAAGCTGGATACTTACGATGTGTGTACTCTAACATAGGTATGTTAGATTTAAAAGGTTTTTTTTTTTAATGTTTATTTTGAGAGAGAAGTGGGGAAGGGGCAGAAAGAGAGAGAGGGAGACCAGAATCCGAAGCAGGCTCCAGGCTCTGAGCTGTCA